TATTTCTCACCAATGCTTTCCTGTTATTTTCCAGGGTCCTTTGTTTGGTTGCGAGGCCTCGGCCTGTCCGTTCTCAGGGGAACATTCGAGCCCCGAGCACTTATGAACACTCCGGCCCTCGTACACAGACTGCTCCCATACCTGTCTGCATCACCCTGTGTGTGTGTGTGTGTGTGTGTTTGTGTGTGTGTGTGTGTGTGTGTGTGTGTGTGTGTGTGTCACCTTGTCCTTGGATTTTAAGAGGTACATCCCTGCAGTGAAGTCACTTCTGTTTAAGGGAACTTTATTCTTCATATGCCTTTGAATTTAACTACATTTAACATTTAACTACATTAATATACATTAAGGTGGTTTTAAGCCATAATTATTGAAATTAAATGACAGAATGAGAGAAAAAACATACCTTCATTAATTCAAAGTTTGATGCTGCAGCTACACTGGACAGATTTTGTAGTTTTAAAGCAAATAATGTTTTCTTCCTACTAAAAATATCTCTAATTCCTCATTTCCCAATTTTTTTTTACTGAAGGGATGACTTGAAAATTCAATATATTGATCTATAGATCATAAGAATAACTCCTTGTCACTCATATTTTTTTGATTTCTAATCATATTAAAAATTGATATTTGTCTCAGGAACAGCTTGTCTGTTGATGGATGCTGAGGTGCCAATCTTCCATTTTACTAATACTTGAATAAAGCAGATTGAAAGTGTCCTCTTCTGTCTCTCAACAAGTGGACTTTGCAGTTGCAGTTGTGTGTCACTGATAAATTCCAAGCGTTTTCAAGAGTGTCTCTTGAAAAAAAGAAAAAAAAAATCCTTGCTTTTAAATTCCTGTCCTGGACAGACACAACAACAACAGGAAGAAGGGCCATTTTCACAGGTGTCAGGAAGCACAGGAAATAAACAAGCTGAATACTGGAAAACATTTTTGTACCAGTAAGAGTCAGAGGTGAGGCTAATAAGAGATATATTTAGCTGGTACAGGATTATTATGTGCAGCTTTGGACAAAATGTTTGATATGGTTCTGATTTCCATTAGATGTTTTGTTACACTGCGTGGTGACGTAGTAAAAGATGACTTGAGAGAATAAAAAACATCTCCCTCTAACCAAGGTTCACTTATTATGTTCAATTATGAATGACCTGTGGTTCCATTACAATCTTTAAAAATCCAAATCACAAAGATGATTATTGAATTGAATCATTGTGATCATTTACAGCATTTATCACAGACCAATATGTATGTACTTTTTACTGTCTGAAAACTAATGTTATATTTAAAAAATAATAATAAAATAAATGAATAAAATAAAATAGAATAAACTGATAAATAAAAAATAAATAGTGATATAATTAAATTAAATTAAATTAAATCAAATTAAATCAAGATGGGAGAATCTGCACATACAAGGACTTTTTTTAATCTTTGAAAGATTTAACACTAAATATTATAGTGGAGCTTGGGTTGTCTAATTTTAAAAATTGTAAGAGGAGATACCTTTTTGAAAACTTGAGCTCCATAGGGCTGAATTTTGATTTTTGATTATAAAGATGTCTGTTTAAAATGTCTACATATGACAACTTTGTGTTTATAAATCTCCAGACAATAGTCTTATAATACCCTCCCACCACCACCTCTAAAGTGGTATTATCCTGCACTTTTTCACCTACTGGTTGAGTCTAAATAGTGATCAATTTAATCACTTTTTTGCTATATTTAACTGTATAAAATGCTTCTGTTAAGACCATCACAGGGGAGATATCAAAAATATTAAAAAACATGGCCATGTTTTGTTGTACTTTGGGTTGGGGCATCTGAAAAACCTGGATTTGCACGATGTACCCATATATATGCACCAATTTGTGCCTTTTCTGCATCATTACAGTATATGTTGTAATTGTCTTTTATTTTGTCAAAATAAAACTCCTTTGCTACTTTAATGCACTTTGGGGGACAAGCGCACATTCCAGATATTGAGGAGGATGTGTCCTCTGTGTCCCACTCGAACTGTGCCCACCACCACCCCCTTCGAAATCTGGATTCCGCCCCTGCCTGTAATACAGTATGATTTGATAGTGACCACATTTACGTTACGTTATGAAATGAAATCTGTCTGTTGCAAATAATCAAAGGAATTGAGTCTCTGATTCATTTAAAGCTTTGTCAAATAGTCTGTAATGGCACATGTACGTTTTATTCCTTTTTTATGTAAACCAGCATTGAATATTAGTATGCCACTCATGGACAATATGAAGATAATTGGTCTGCTCGCTCGGAAGAATGATTCATTTCAGTTCAACTGTATAAGTTGGAACTCTCAGTAGGGCTCAGAGATGAGTTGAAAGACTTTAATGAATGTTTCCCTCCAGGAAGGAAATGACATTATATGTAATTCTCAAGAAAGATCTTTAGCAATATCTCAAATTTTTAATAATTTGTATTCGTCACTTTGTTTATGTTGACTGATGTAAGTCCCATCTGCTATGGCTGCATTTTATTAAGAACTTTACAGGCAAAGCTATGTAGAGAAGTTTCTCCATGGAGCTGCATAGACAGAGAAACTTCCTCAAATTCTCTCCCGTCTGTGATCTTTCATAAATCCCGTCTTTGCTCGTCAGTTCTTCTTATGCCATTAGTGGTGAAAATATTTGTTCCATGGCTGAGAAATGTTTTCTGCATGGGAACAAAGAATATTTTGCTATTTGTGGAAGTTGAGAAAGTAGGGCGTTCCAACCAAGACTTAAGAGTCGAGGATGCCTGAACATTTCTCAGCACTTTCTGCTCCTGTGTTTAGATGTACCAGTTCATATCATCATGGGAAACAAGAACTCCTTCTACGCAGAAGGCATATTTCTATCTAGGCTTCTTCGCATTTTTACATAGTTCAGAGAGTCTTTTTCCACCTCCCATAAATAAATCTCTCTAATGTCTTGCTGAGAATATCAGAATATCAGTGTCTCCTCCTCTTTTTTTCCCACAGAAATTTATTCAGAATTTAATTTGCCTTGGTTTCTGAGTCCACGGGATTTTCAAAGTTGCCATGCATCTCTGTGACATGTTGATATATTGAATGAATTGAGAAATACTGCATTAAGTGCACATGCAATATCTTAAATGCACATGTTAGCCTTCCTACTCAAAGTCAGCCACCATTGGATCAGTCCATGGGATCACATTTTAAAGTGAGAACATTGATGGTCTCATAATGTTGAAGACACAAAACATGCAACTTAACAAATGTTAGCATGAATAACAAATGTGTTCCCTGTTTGACTGAACAGCTTCACTCTCTCTATATACTCACACATATATGAATTCAGTTCTCCATTGCCAGTACTGGGGATGTAATATTATAAATGATAATAATGAACTTCCTCTGTAGAGAGAATCTTTCTGATAGTCATCAGTCTCCACAGCGTTCACACAACTAGGCCTTACAATAAAAGGGCCGCAAAGCAAATGAGAGCACTAAAAATATTTGGAGCATAAGGGAAAAGATTCTTCTTAGATGAAGAATGATCTCTTGGCATCAATTCCAACATTTTGTCTGATGAAATCCAGCTAACTGCTCATCACTGGGATGATACTACAGAATAGTGCAAAAAGAGAAAAGAGCAAAGACATCCTTTTAAGAAACTCCAGCGAAGACTCAACCCAGAATGATGTGAGATCTAATTCTTAGAGTAATATAGAATAAAATGAAGCATACAGCTGTCAGGTAACTGTGCAGACCTGGACATGACTAATGCTAAGTACAGTTATGGCAATTACACAATGTGCTTTAGAGTAAAACATAGAAAACATTAAACAATGAGATAAAGAATATATAAAATACTCCACATAACTAAAATAACCATACAGCAAACCAAACAATGCACACACTTGCACAGAGGTATGTAACTTATATTAGTTCATGGGCCACATACACCCCAGTTTGATCTCAGGTGGGCCAGACCAATAAAACCACTGCATAAAAATCTATAATAACCATACCTCTAATTTTTTCCCCTTCCTTTTAGTGTGAAAAAGTACATTCTGAAACGCTATTTAAAAAAATATGGTGAATATGCCTCAGTTTTTCCTTGTGCAGTCAGTCAACTACTCATTGTTATGCATTTTCCCATACATTTCCATTCCTGTGTAGTAATGCTGGCATCACTGCACCAAACTCAAGTGACAGCTATTGAGGAAGCAAGTTAAGTTATCCCATGCCTTACAAACCATCTATAAATGTTAAATTTTGGCAAAAGGGTTTCATCAATATCATTTTAGGATAGATGTCTGATACAGATTCTTTTGTACTAAAGCTACTGACTGACTGACTACATTGTGCACAATATGCCATATCTTTAAATATGTCCATGATATGATTTCATTGTTTCTTTTCAGAGAATTATGATTGTGTTGAAAAGCCTCTGAAGCAGCATTTTGCTCCTGAACCACACAACCTCTGAGCTTCCACAGGTGCATCAATATCAGGTGTCCAGGAGTCAAAAGTCATCCAGTTGGCCAGATTGGACCCTTTGACGGGCCAGTTCTGGCCCATGAGCCACATATTTTACAACCCTGCTCTAACTGCTGCTGACTTACTTCTTTATTTTGCTAAACTCACTTTTGCAGATTCAATTGACTTTACACCCTTTCCATACTCTTTACACTTGACTAAACACTTTGTCATTTCATCACTATTTGTCTCTTCTCCTAAGTGATTGTTGTTATGTGTCTTTCATTTTACAGCACCATTATTTACACAACTAAAAAGAGATATGTAAGGTACAGCATGACTGACTGAATGCCATTTATAGATAGAGTCTACTGCACATTCCACTCATTTAAATGTAATTAACCTTTGCCTGAAATATAAATCTGCAACTGCTTAGTTTGAAATTATCGATTACTACATAATAAAAGCACTCAGGCCGTTTCAATATCAATTGATGCACCACTAATTAAGTTAACAAATGTTTAAGGCAGTGAAAATCAAATGACAAGAGACAGTGATAACTTTGGTTTAATTGTAAGAGCATTCTTTACACTGGCTGGTGTCATACACATGATATTTTCCATGTCATCTTTTCATATATACAATACAAATAAAATATCAGCATGGAAAACTTCAAAATATTTAGCGGACTACAATGATGAATGGATGAAAAAATATTGCTGTGTCCAGTTTGGAAATAAATGCAAGGTCCTTTTGTGACATTAACTCTCATTTTCTCAACAGTAATGTATGAAGGCACACTAAATGAGACAATCAGGTCTACACTGAAGCTCCTACAGGATAATCGTGAGAAACAGATGAAGAACAAAACAGAAAAATGGAGAATTTGAAGAGAATAATATCATCTGCATATTTCATTAGAAAATGATGCCTATGCCAAGTAAGGACCGAACAAACCAAACGAAACTTCCAAATGCTGTAAAAAAGTTTTTTTCATCATTTAACATAATAAAATATATCTTTCAGTTCATTTATAAGTTAATGCTACATTTACACTGAATAGATTCAGTCTTGTCAGCACTTGTCAGCGAGGGTTGAGTCGCTTTGGAGCAGTGGATCTGTCCGTGTGTTGAACTGAGTTCTGGGCAGTGCTGACCTCTCCTGAGCCCACCTCTCCCCCTGAAATACAAGTGAAAGAACTCATTGAATTTTCAAATAAATGTCTTTTCATGGCTTGATTTAATCCATTTAGTAGAGGACATTTGAGTAAGAATTCACAAAATGCCAACACTTTTTAAAAAGCAGCAATCTTTATTCTAAGAAATCTCACTGTTTGTTACCTTCTTGAGTCTCAGTCTTGAGCTTGCTGGCAATTTTGGCAAAGAATCTGAGGGTGAGGCAAGCTCCTGTCTCCCTGTCACATATGCCACCTTTGCAGTTGCATGTCTTGCGGCACTCAACCCCGTAGGTTCCATACAAGCAGTCTGTAAAGAAAGGAAACATTATTTTAGAGCTTTGTCTTGCAGAACAAGCAGGGAAAAGGTTCATGTACCTCACCAATATTCCTACAGACTCATATTCAGAGTCAAAATAATGATCAGTGAGTGAGAGAAATGGGGAAAGGCAAATAACTGCAAGTGGATAGTTGGATGAGCACTGATGTTAAACTCCAAGCCTCTAATGGTCTGATCATCAGGTCAAATGTTATTTGAAGCATGGATGCACAGTTACAATACATGCTCCTCTCTAACCACTGATTATATGGCAGTGGTGCTGTTCATTGTGATTAATTCAATAAAGAGAGCCTAAAGACTGCATTTGGTGCAGCAGAGCATCACATCAAAACGCAGCACACAGGCAGAAACAGCACACATTGAATACTGAAGGTTAGTGTACCTTTGCAAATCCCATACTCGTCTCCATAATCGTCCTCATCCTTGTAGAACTCGCAGAATAATCCCGGTCCGCACTTCACCCCGTGCATCCCCGACACCGTGCGGTAACAGTGCTCCCCTCTGCCGGCTGCACAGACCTGGCAACAGCCGCAGTCATCCAGGACGGTCCGTGTGCACCGCTGCGTCCCGCCGCACCGCTCCGCGTTGCATCTGTCGGGGCAGTTCACCGCGTACTTGACATTGGCGCCCCACGCCTCAGCATCTCGCACTATGAGTGAGGACAACACTGTGATGAGGAGAAAAGACATGACTGGATGCGGCGTGGAGAGCTCGTGGAAGGGCTGCTGTCTTTTGGGATGTCTCGGGAAGAAGAGCCGGAGAAGCGGAGCACCTCTGGGAGACTTGAGCGGAGTGACCTCTGGTGCATCAGGTTGTATGGTTATCAGCGATGAACAACTTTGTTTTGCACATGGCTTTGCCCTCGTCAATTTCCTCATTCCGGTGTTGTCGTCCTTTCTGCCAGTCAGCCCCCTTTTTAGAAATCCGGCTTGGAAGTGGGATTAACTCTGGACCGCCATCCAGGAATTGAAATTCGTGTGACCTGATGTCATAAGTTATCTTTGGTTTGTTTTTGTGTTAGTGACTGACGGAACCCCCCAAACCTCCCGGCTTTGAAGAATCACATTTGATGTTTGGATGTTTTTAGTCACAACATCCTATGATTGGAAATAATACTGACATTATTTAACACAACAGGAGATTAATCAGTGTTAGCTCAATTAAATCATTATATAGAGTCACATAAGAATGAATAAGGTAATTTTGAATAAGGTTGTGTCTAAAGTTTTAAAAGAGGAAAAAAAAAAAAATTATGGAAACTTTTAAGTTATATTAAAAATAGGAACAGAATAGGAATAGGAACTGGCTAGTAATAAAACAAAAGCCATTAAATGTAGCATGTAAAAGCAGTTTTTACCACAATCTGTATCTGTACTGTTTTTTTTTAACAGGGCCGTAATCACCCATTCAACATGGAGGGGGTGGGTGCCAGGAGAACTTTTTAGAAACTTCATAACTAAAATAACCATTTTAAAATATTTTTTTTAAACAAAAACTCTGAGATCAAGGGTTCTCAATAATTTAAGATGATGTAGTACCATTTCATAGGTGCTAGCATATGATTGAGGGCAACACAGGGGTGCACACGCAATGACCTATTTTAGCCTGTGACTCTTTTAAGTGTTATACTATGGCATTTTAATAACTTTTTTAGTGACATATACTGCAACTTTTTATGACCTTTTTTAACGACATTTTTTTATGACTAACACAGTGATATAGCCTATATAACCCTCATAATTTTCCACATTTGAATACATTTGAAAGTAATAAGCTGGGGTCCCCAGATACATTATACTTACTGCCTAGTTTAAAGATTCTAAATATAGTCTGTCATGATTTATGTTGATTTTTTTTTAACCCTTTCAAACAAAGTGGTCACTGCAGTGGACAGCTGTTTAAAAGCCATTTTCTTGTACATGCCTGGGTTTTGATGCTCTAGTTGCATTTAAGTCACTCCAGTGGACCCCAGTGCATCGTTTAATACACTGCCACCCACTGGCCAGGTGCTGTCAGTGCAACACAGATCTTTCAAAACCAAGATGGCTGACAGAAAGGAAGAAATGTTCAGCTCAGGAGTATCTTGCCAATCCTTCTATAATAGGAGACCCTGTTAGATACAAACAATCTGGGAACATCAAGTAACTTCCAAGGAGTGATAAAGTCGTTACATTTTTCAAGTATTAATTTTATATTTTGAGGAGATAACAATTAATCATCTGTTTACTAAACTGGACATCATGCAATGCTGGCTGTATTTCAACTACATTAAATAGCCTACTATTATTGCAACTTTGTTTTTCTTGAAAATGCTTTACCTGCAATGGTTTTCATGGCTGTAAATCAATTGATTTACGTTATTAGCTGAACAGTTTTTGTAACAGACATAATATTTTGAGAATATTTGTGCAGAAAATGTTGATTGGAAAAAAATGATATAGTTCAACGGGGGGAGGTGGGTGAGGAGGAGTGAAGAGGAAGCAGTCGAAGAGACGGGAGAAGCTGAAGAGTCAGGAGCAAGGTTCAACACTTCTGCATGGCATTGAACAGTATTAGAATCTGTTAAAATATATTTATGACATTGGTTTAAGAAAGGGCGCCACAGTGGTGTAGTGGTTAGCACTGTCGCCTCACAGCAGGAGGGTTACTGGTTTAAACTTGTCCCCAGGAGGGAGCCCCTCTGTGTGGAGTTTGCATGTTCTCCCTGCATCAGCGTGGGTTTTCTCTGGGTACCCCGGCTTCCTCCCACAATCCATAGACATGCAGGTTGGGGATAGGTTAATTGGTGACTCTAAATTGCCCATAGGTGTGAATGTGAGTGTGAATGGTTGTCTGTCTCTGTGTGTCAGCCCTATGATAGTCTGGCGACCTGTCCAGGGTGTACCCTGCCTCACACCCAGTACCAGCAGACCCTCAAGAGTATAAGCGGTTATGGAAATGAATGAAAGAGCATTAAAAATATATATTTTTATAGTTTCACATGATATATATCAATCTTTAAATTGGGTTATATTTCTGCAGTTGAAAACTTAAACACACATTGTCCACCTGAGTGGACATGTGAAAAACTCATGTTTAAAAAATTATTTTTTTCATACTTTAAGAGAAATGAAACACTCAAAAAATCTCGACTGAGGTCATAATAATTCATGCATGAAAGGGTTAATATTGTAACAAAAAAATCAATTCATTGATGGCATTTAAAAAATCATCAAATAACAGGGGGCACTTCAAGTTAAGTATTGCAATTCCATAAAGTTAAGGACTCACACAATTAAGGAGAGAGTGGTCAAAATCAAAGGAGCAGTGACATCTTCATTTTTAGACCAAAACCCTTGGGTCCTACACTTCCCATAATGCAGCATCATCAAGGTTATTTCCTCAGTTTTGACAAAGCTCCCTCCAGAGTCACATTATGCATCCTTTTCCCACCACAGGCTGAGTTTTAGTTAATTATAAGATATTTTTTAAAAGTCATATCATGTTCAGTATAGTCTACTGCTTTAATATCTGGACAATATTAATAAAAAGAAGCTTTACTTTAGTCTGAATTTATTTTCTAGTAATGATTTTAATACTGGATTGGGGATCCACAAAATACTGACGTTAGTAAAAAACATGTTACACAGTCGGGACTGTGTCAGGCAGAAAAATAAAAATTAAAGGTGAATAAAAACAATATGATGAGAAGTAATTATCGCTCCAAAACACAAGGTGGCGGTCATCCAACATGGCTGCCATCAATTGTTAAGGCTCCAGCAGACGAAGAAGAAGAGGAGCGAGGAGAAGGTTGATATGATATTCACGTCCAAGGGAGACCTCACCGGGACGGGACAGGTAACGCAAACCATTTATCTGCGGGGTTTTATAGTCAAGGTAACTTAAATGTCTGCTGTATTTTATTTTAGTTTTAATAACAGCCGTGTTGACATTGTGATAAGACGCTGACGGGTGACGGGAGTGTTTTGCTGAGAGCTGTCAGCCTACAAGCGGAGGGGCTTGGTCGGTTTTGACAGCCATGGACCAGACTAGCAACTGCACTGCAGCCAGCCGTTAGCTCAGCTGTCACCGCAGATGCAATGATAATGATACCGGTGTTTGTCACTGACACGACGGACACTGCGTCTCAAATTCACGTATTTAGCTTTTTATGTCGGTGTAGCCACCAGCTAACGTTATAATGTGACACCGAGCTAACTGTCGCCAGAGACCAAAAATACATTGCGCTACTAAATGTTGACAGACGCTTCAAAATAAGACGCCACATAGCAAGGCTGGATCATTGTACATGAATTAAATCATCCTGTTGGCTAATGTCATTAGCATGAATGCCCGAGTCAGTGCTTAAGTTCTGAATACATGACATTGTAAATGTATGACGGTATGTTTTAGCTCCTCCAGCATCTTAACATAATGCAGTTAGTTGTTGTTAGACATTATGTAGCTCTGACTATAGTGAATAAATCCATCTAATGCTAACATTAGCAAGGTTTGTTATTAGTTCCTGCATCCCATTGTCTAAATGCTCATTGTGGTCAGGGTTGTCCTGGCAACACAGCAGCCCAAACGTCCTTTGGTACAGCAAACTTCCTCCAGCTTGCTCTGGATGATTTTCAAGCCCCTGGATCACCTCCAGCTGGTCCTGGGTCAGCTTTAGGGATATCCACAGAGCACCAAAGGGCTCCCAAATAGCTGAGAATTTCATGTTGTTGTAGATTGTAGCTATCTATGCTGCAGAAAAATTGGCAACGTGATCACTGTAGCCACATTAACACATCCAGGTGAGGATTTTCAGAGGGTTTTCCTGTCTTATTTTACTGTAAATCTGTTTTCTGACTATTGGTAGGACAAAACAAGATATTTGCCAGTGATAAAATTGGGCTCGGAATGTTCAACATTTTCTAACATTTCATAAAGAAATGATTGATCAGTAACTAAAAAAAAACTATTATGGACAAGATTAATCGCTAAGGGAAATAACCGTTACATGTAGCCAAGGTTCAAATCTCATATTTTTTAATTCAATGTCAAGAGTGTGCATGCTCCTTCAGCTGATCCCACTAACCAGCTGTCAGTATTGTGGTAATTTTTTGGAAAACAAGACTGTTAAAATATGTGACATTCAGATACACATCCACATAGCTTGTGCACTGTAAATTGTCGCCCCTGCCTAATGTCACCGACATTTACTTTTCCTCCCATCATACATGGTGCTGCACGCATTCAAAGTCAGTCACTGATATTGATTTGTATTGTATGAGTGGTTATTAGCCTCTAGGCCTACACAAGAGCCTTTTATAGTTATATTTTTATAGCTTATTGGCAAGTTTCTGGGATATTTGGCTCAGTTTGTTGTCTGTAATTAATAAGAAGGAATACAAGATATGTTGTGTGTGTGTTTCTGTGTATTGCAAATACTCCAGATGGACTGACATCAGTGAGCTGAACAGTAAATGCTTGATAAAAACACAAAAGAAAGAAGAAAAACGTCTTAACGTTATGTGCTGCAACTCCAGACAATTTGTAATCAGTGATGGTTGCGCCTTGCATTGCTGGTGGTTGTCTGACCCCGAAGAGCCCATTGCTATATCAATGCTTGCTGTTATTTTTGTCCAGAGTGGAAACCATATAGCCCCACAGGCCTCAGGCAAGGCAGGAGAGATGAGGCTCTCTGACTGTGGACCATGGTGGCATGTTCACATGTTTATCAGCCTGTAACTGGCATTCTCTCCCACGTATCGGTTTGTGTTTTTGTACAAGTGTTAATTATAGAAAAAGTCTCAGCCATGACCCAACAGTATGGAAATTTCTAG